AAACAAATTATCTGCATTTTTTGCACATGAAAAAAACAATGGAAAGCCCTTTTAACATTTAACCAGCAGGGATGACGAGTAGCAAATTAGTTTTCACTAGTGGACATTTTAACAAGTTCATTTAAGATATCTGTAAAACAGTTCTGACATATATGTTTTACATGTAGAAATTACACCGATCAGCCAAAACATGAAAACCACTGATGGATGAAGTGAATAACATTGATCATCTTGTTAAAGTACAATGTTCTGCTGGGAAACCTTTGGTCCTGGCATTCACGTGGATGCTACTTGACGTGCTCCACCTACCCGAGCACGGTTGCAGACAAAACAGCACTTATCAATGGCAGCGGCCCCAGCAGGACAATGCATCATGCCAAAGAGCTCAAGGTGTCAGCTTTGCCTCTAAATACCCCAGGTCCCAATCTGATCAAACATCTGAGGGCCGTGCTGGTACCCCAGAGGTACCCCAGATCCACTGTGGGTTCTCCTTGGACCAGACTTGACTCTGACCTGTCAAGGCATGGACACATGACCTCTGGAGGGCGTTAGCTTCAGATCTTTTGAGTCCCATGGGTCGTGAGGTGTCACAGCACGTCCCACAGATGTTTGACCAGATTGGAATTTGGCAAATCTGGAGGCCAGGTTGACGTCTTGACCTCTTTGTCACTTTCCTCGGACCATTCCTGAGCAGTTTTTGTGATGTGGCATGATGCACTGTACTGCTGGGGAGAGCACAGCCACTGGGGCGTTGTCTGGTCTGCACTGGTGTTAAGGTGGGTGGAGCGTGTATGGTGGCATCCACATAAATGTCAGTGCCCAAGGTTTCCCAACTGAACATTGCATTGTAACGAGATAATCAATGTTACTCCACTTGTCAGTGGTTTTGTTTTGGTTAATCGGTTTACATATGCAAAAGTCATTTTACAAATTATCTGAATTTTTTACACATTAAATGTTTAATACAACAATAAAAATAATGGAAAGCCCCTTTTAACATTTAATTCAATGCCAAATAAAAAGAAACAACAGTGAAATAAAATAAGAATTGTTATATTTTGTAACAAACCTGCACCTAAAGGGGCAGAAACTGAAACATATCAAACATCTATGACAAGGACAGAAACAGTATGTGTGAACGGACAGGAAACTCAACGTGTATAAAACTAAAATATATATAAAACTTATCACTGGTTACCTGATGACCTAATAGTCTAATAACATAGATATGTTGACTTGGAACTCTAACCAGTCAAAATCGGTTATTGAAATCTGCAATTGATGATACTGCTACTGATCAATCATCAAAGGGTATCGTATAAAAACAATTTAAAATTATATTTACATCTACAAAAAAAAAAGGACATTCACTTTTAAAAACCACTTTGTCTGAGAGGTACAATGTGGGTAGATAAGGCAGTGAAGTTCACTTTTAAAATTCGGTATCTTATTGTTAAAAGGCTTTTAAAGGCTGAAATGAAAACAGAGCAGTGAGAACAAATTAGGCTACCATGGCTGTTTCGAGGTATCTTAATTCGGCCCATAAAATCAGGATGTCATGTATTGCTCCTCTGTTGTTTTTTTTAAATAAAAACATCATAAATGGCAACCAGTAAAACTATTATAAAAAACTCACAATGACATACTATTTCAGAATGATGAAGTGATTTTTTTTATAGTTTCTTTAAACATTTCACAGCTTGTTGGTTCATTTAGATATTTTACAAACATTATTGAGATGATTATTTATTTGATATTGAACAATTTGGGGTTCCTCATTACAAAATGACACAATTTTCTCAGTTTTACTGGCTGTGCTTAACTCTGACACACAAGATCTTTACTTTGTAATCCTGTTTCCACCGAGCAGTACGGATCAGTTTAGTTCAGCACGTTTTTTTTTTTTTTCATTTCCACTGTAAAAAGTTGTGGATGGCACCAATTGAACCGTTCCGTACCGTCCCCATGTTTGGTCCCCCCTCTGTTGGGGTACCTAGCACACAGATCTGGTACTAAAAGGTGGAGCTGTGAACACTGCAGTCTGATTGGTCAGTAGAGGACGGTCACTCTGCTCAGGGCTGAGTTGTGTCTGGTTTTGAGGCTCATGTAACCACTGTTCATACTGTGGAGAGTTTTATTAGTAAACTGTAACTATAAAATGAAAGGATGTTTTGCTGCCTCTCACAGCAGCTGGAGTCTGAGAAAAAATAACTTTATTCATTGGGCCGAGTGTCTGCGATTTTTAAGGTGGAACATGAACTTTGAATGTTACTCAATGCATGAGTTGATGACGTGAATCCATCAACACACCTTAAATTTCACTGTCACAACTTTGACCATCACTTTAGTTTTATATGACACACACTTTTAGTAATGAGTGGATCTTCAAGAGTTTATATATTTTAATTTCAACCCAATTATGTTAACTGCATATATTCAAATCTTCAATCCAAAATAAATGTGGCAGAGCGTCGTTCCTGTTGGCTACAGCAACACTAAACCCCTGAGCTTGCCTGAGAAGGACTAAATGCACAAAGCTGCTATCTTTAAATATCCCATGGTGAGAGACTCTCACTGCAGCCTGTTCTATTTTGTTCTGAAAATGTCGGCGTGCAGCCTCGTTCTGTGGACGATAAACGAGGTACAGACTTCCATCTGTGTCACTGCTTATGAGGAAATACAGCGAGTGCTGGACGGAGCAGTGAGTGACAACAACCCCGCCAACATTTAAGAGGACTGTCTGTGGTGGAAACATTAAGGTCTAAGTACCATGTCTCAAGGGTTACTTTGGTTCCAGAGGTACAATGCCGAAAGTGTTTGGTGGAAACAGGGCTTTATTTACGTGTCTTTGTGCCATTAAACCTACATTAATTATACACTGTACCAGTGATACTCAACTTGCGGCCCGTGGGCCAGATTTAGCAGAAAGACTCACCGACTATTTTTCAATTCACAATGAAAATAAATTGATTCACACCAGGAATTTTTATGGCTTTGGCCGGTGATGGCTTTGGCCGTAGGTATTAGGTTTTTGCTGTCTGTCTGTACGTACACACGTCTCATTCTTGTTGATGCAATACCTCAAGAAGGCAATCAAGGAATTTCTTCAAATTTGGCACAAGCGTCCAACTGAAGTCAAGAACAAACTAATTAGATTCTAGTGGTCAAAGGTCAAGGTCACTGTGACCCCGTATGTCGCATTCTCTTGAATGTGATATCTCCTGAAGGCCTTGATGGAAGTTCCTCAAATTTGGCACAAACATCCACTTGACTTAAGAATGAACTCATTGCAATTTGGTGGTCAAAAGTCAAAGGTCAAGGTCACTGTGCCATAAGAATTCATACACTAACTATGACCAGATTTCACAAATATTATTGTGAATTGGTGACACTGAACTTAAAACTGTCCTGATTGTATAGATCTTGTGCGCTGCTGGGGAAGCATCCATGTTTTCACTGACATGGATGTAAACTGTAAGTTCAACCTGAATGGTTTTCGGAGGCATACAACTGCGAGACGGTAACTCTAGTTTTTTAGCGTGCTTTTAATATAAATAAGGTGGCAGTGTACATTAATAAAAAGCCATAAAATTGAGCTTCTTTATCGAAACAGTTTTTTTCTGTCCTCAAATCCCAGAAACACCAATACAAGACCTGCACGAGCCTGCTGTGACTGGATTTGTGTCGTCAAACGGTTGAGAACAGGCATTTCCTTTAGAAACAGAAAAACATTATAAATAATTGTTCATTAATTGGCCCCTGGCTTCTGTCATTTTGCAAAAGTGGCCCCCAGGCAAAGCAAGTTGAGCATCTCTGCTCTATATTCTATCAGTGGTACAGCACAAGTCTTTTTTTTGTATGTGTGAGTAGAAATGGGTCGATCTTATTTTGTGAAACTGCACATAGAAAAAACTTATGGACAAGCAGTACAGAAGGTTGTTCAGATAGATGTTGCTGTGATGACATTTTAAAGTCATTGAACGGACTGTATCTTCACCTCACAAGCGTCAACCGCTTCACCTCCACATTTAGGATGCAAGACCAGTTGGATGAAAGAAGGATCACTTGCATCGGGCTGAAATCCCAGGTAATACCCTCGGTACTCAGAGGACTCAAACTCATAACAGCCGGATGATTCGAGTTTGGTCATGTAGAATATTTCCTTGCTCTTGTTTCCATCAATTCCTTGTGGAATATCCTGGAGAAAAACACACAGCAAACCTGATTTAATTGTCTGTTTCGTTACACCTCTACACGGTGGACAGGTTGCAGTCAATGGAAAGGAAAGCCTAAGCACTACAGGATGAACTTTAAAGGTCCAGTGTGCAGGATTTAGGGGGATACATTGGCAGCAATGGAATAAAATATGATACTTTTTTTTTTAGTGGCCTGTCTGCTATGTGCCAAACAGTGTAAGAGAAACCCTATTGTCACCTGGTCTGTTTGTTTTGGAGAAGAAGAGACCTCTGTGGATAACTGACCTATGGCTAAGTCCCGCCCTCAAACACAATGAGCCAATCACAGTGCGTATAGCCATTCCCATACACTCGGACATTCTCTGCCTGGACGTCCATTCAAATGCATTACAGAAAGTCAGTTTTGTTCGGTTTTATGAGCTTTTTCTGAGATTTGAAGTTTAAAAATGGTCACACGGTGTTCATGGGGTACATGCAACTCTGACACAAGGTATCCTGAGAGGCTGGGCGACGAGGTGTATTTTTTTACACTTTAAACCACATCTCAACCGAGAAAAGTGTCTCCTTTGGATAAAGTTGTGTGGTAACGTTAGACCACAACATCAACTCAACGTGAATAAGATTAACAATGATGTCTACATCTGTTCTAAGGTAAGTCAACATTGTGTTTGAGGCAACATATTGTCACTTTGCTGGAAAGAAATATAAAGTTATCTTTAACATCTCTAGCTAACGTTAGCTAAAGTTAGCCTAATGTTAGCTCCTAGCTGCGTTGTTCATCACGTCACCTTGTTTGCTGGGAGTTCATTAGCCTATTTTGTTCTTGTTTTGTACTTTGGTGATCGTACATCATTGTTAGCTGTTGTCCAAAGGGCTCTAGTTAAGCTAACGTTAACTTCTGGAGCTTAGCTTCATTAACTTATCTGTAATGGCAGAGATAACAAAGGTTGGCAAACGTTATGCTGAATGATTCAGTGTAAATACTGTAGCACCAAACTAACGGAGAGACACTCTTGGTAAAGATGGTAAAAAGGCCGTTATCCTTTTCTCATATTCTGAGCCAAAAACCTTAACTTCAGTGGCACTTTAACTTGTTGTCTTTGATGGCGACGGCAACGAGATGCGGTTCACAAGCGTACACTGTGACCTGTAAATTTTGGCTTGTAATTTAAGTTTTTCATCGACCTTCTCAACAATAAAATGATGAATATATCCCTCAATGCATAGTTTAGGTCCTTTTGGTTACTTCTCAATGACATCTGATCATTATGTCCCCAAAAATCATCAATTGCCTCCTGCGAAATGCCGTGTACTGTGACACCTGCCATAGCGCCGCTCACTGAATGTTGATAGTTTGTCCGAGTGAGTGGAGGGGGGCGTGGCTTAGCCATAGGTCAATTCAGCTGCTGGTCAAAACCTCCTGAATCATGAACACTGAAGGAACTCAAACCAGGAGAAGTTGCAGCTGGTTGCAGTCTGCAGTCGTCACAGCTAGATGCCACTGAATCCCCCTACATCTTACACACTCTCTTTAAACATGACATAAAGCAGAAGGCCTCGCCAAGGGATGACAGTCAATATCTTTAAGGGCTTACTAAGGTTAGAAAATCCTGCACAAGATAAATTAGGTCCTGTATGTGGTTGGTTTGACAACAGACCCACTCAGAGTAGACCCTCGCATCACCAACTTATAATTGCATATCATTTGCTCAAACTCACCTTTTTCTCAGGATAAATTTTCTGCTCCTTCCCACAGCACACCACCATGTTCTCATTGTCTACGGTGACATATAGCATGGCTGCCGGCACTTTACTTTCCTCTGGGACTTGATTGAAAGTCTTGATTTTGAAATGGCAGTCTAAAAAAGGAAACACAAGATCAACAGGACATGCAAAACCTGACAATGATTGAAGTCATTTAAAGAATATTTTTACAGTGTGACCTCTGTAAAGTGTTACGTCTGCTCATCTGTGTTTTTTCTTGTTTTGTGACATCAGAAGATCTGAGACAGTTTTAAAGGTGAAGTCAGTAAGATTTAGCTGAATTATCAGCAGAGGTCTAAATAAAGCAGTTTCACGGTACAAATCAGTTTAAGTCCGGCGGTGCCTATTGCAGTTGGGCTTCTTACTACAGTAGCCAAGGCGAAAACACAAAGGGCACTATGTTGAGCCAGTGTCTGGTTTGTCTGTTCTGGGCTACTGTAGAAACATGGCGGTGCAACATGGCAATCTCTATAAACAAAGACCCGCTCCCTATGTAGATATAAACGGCTCATTCTGAGGTGACGAAAACACAACAATTCTTATTTTCAGGTGATTATACACTAAAGAAAACTTGCTAATATATCTAATGTTACTAATATCTAATGCAAAAACACTTGATGCTCTTTGCATTTGGTCGTCTGACACACACACAAATGCCTCACTATATGCAAGAGCAGTTGTTTCTGTGATTTCCTCTGAGAATTCACTGGATTTCCACGTGTCGTTCCACTCCTGAAGGAGTCGACAAATGTTTGTCAACATTTGGCATTTCATAGGTAATTAAGATAAACTTTTTTTCCCTTGAAAACAACTTAATAACTACGAATCTGGAAACAAATCAAATTACATTTTAATCTGGAACCCATATCCCACCCTTTACCCATTGTTGGAAACCCAGCCTTTGCAGCAGCTAAAAGATAATGCTTTAACAATGTGGACTTGGATAGTATAGGAGACTTGAGGAAGTCAGACCAGGAAGTCACTTCCTCAGATGCTTACTAATAAAAGACTACGACAGGAAATACCTGCAATATTTTGAGACTTTTAGAGGCTCCAGTCTTGACGGATGCCTTCCGTCCACATAGACTACATGTATGACACCTTACAAACTGTCAGCCCAGTTGATCATACTGTAGTAAAAAATAAATGGGAGGAAGACACGGGGGTCGAGATCTCAGACACCTTGTGGCAGGAGAGCCTAGAGCACATCCATCTCTGTTCTAACAGTGCAAGGCACTGTTTAATTCAGTTTAACATTCTACACTGTCTTCATTACTCCAAGGAGAGATTACACAGAACGTACCGCGACATTCCTCCTACTTGTGACAGTTTTGCTCTGTGTCCCAAAGTTAAGACCTACTGGACAGTGTTGGAAGGTATACTGGTACCAGTGGTAGACCGCGGTACAAAAATACCACGGTACATATGATACCATGACGTTGGAGTACCGTAGTACCACGGTACCTCATGGTACCACTACAGTTGGATAAGTTCAAAGTCTAATCACAAGAGGGTGAGTGTCCATGCGCCATCCAATAACGGTGCGCACTGGCCACCTGGCACTCAATATTCTGCTGCAGTGGTTTGTTTTCCAGTGACATTTCAGGTATTAGCTGAGCTACTGAGTATCTTTAAGCAGTGAAAGTTATTATTTATCTCTTTTTACTTGTGAGCTAGATTTCTTTATATATGCTACAGTGATGTGTTTTCCACAGATCTCTACGTGCTAGCATTTTATTCGCATTTGCAACTAAAAATAGTTTTGTGCGAGCAAAAGAAATCATTCAGGAGCACGCTGTGTGAGTACAGATTTCAACCAGCAGCAGAAATGAAAGGCAAATCCCGCCGGTTGTGGGTTGAAAGGGGAACATAGACAGGAATACGCGGAGCACTATGGCCACCGCAAGATAACGGCTTACCGGCGACCGAGAAGCCCGGCTCCAGGTCCAATAATTTCCTCTTTCGTTGTTGTCATGACTGCCTGGTAGTACCTGAACAGCCGAGCCGTGGCGGCACACAGGTATGTGATATGTCAGAGGAGAAACGAGCCGTTCACATTTCTCTCTGTGTGGCAGGTAACAGTCCACAAACCTCACCGCACTTTAGGGACTGTTCTTTACTTATGAAGGGACTGTTCTTTACTTGTCAGGGGAGGAGGGTGGCTGGTTGATTCTTATTTTATTTATTTATTTTATTTCAATCTCCTCTATGTTAATCACTTATTGATGCTGTTTTTGAAGTATGAATAAGTCAATAAGTAATTTATTCCATTGAAATATCATTGATGTATTATAGAAAAGTGATTTATCTTTTTATAAATGACAAAAAGGCACATCTGCCTCATTTTTGCTGTGGTGTCGTGATACTTTCACTGGTATCGTACCGTGGGTCCCAAATTTGGTACCGTGACAACACTACTACTGGATCACCATTTTAATACTTAAAATCCAGATGGAACCTGAACCCCTCATTATTATTCTAGGAATGTCTGATGATGTCAGGAAATTAAGCAACACGCAGCAATGTTTTCCATCCTATGGTCTCATTATTGCAAAAAACCTGCTCCTTATGCAATGGGAAAAGAACGAAATCCGAACCCACTTCACCACTACAATCTTATGGACAAACTTCCATATTTTTCTTGTTATAAAAAAGAAAGTTTTTTTCTTCGAGTAAAGTTTCTTGTCTTAAGATAAATGAATAAATGTTTTTCAAAATATTTTCATGTTATAACTGGCTGCATCTTACCAGGTTGACCCAGCTCACCGCTGTCCAGGTTCTGTGCTTCAAAGTGCTCCTTATTCAATAACAGCAGGGTTTTGTTGTCTTTGCTTTGGACCCAACATTTTTCACTCGGCAGTTCACTGGCCTGAAAAGCGTCGGACTCCAAACCTATATCTAAGAGAGGAAAACACGTCTTACCATCATGCACTTGCAATCACTTCTTGTTTATTCTCTTTTAAAAATGAGGATGGAGGAGAAAAGCGTAACACTGTGTATCAGTTTCATGCTTTTAAACAGTGTGTATTTAAAAAAAACAACACAAGAACTGCCTTACCTGCTTTTGTTACCACTTTAAATGGAGAGACAGTGAAAGAGAAGATTTCAGGTTTTATACACAGACATTAAAAAAAGAAAAAGGACTTTATGAACATTGTGATAATATTTATACCATATAACGTATCTACAGGGAGGGAGTAAAATATGAAGTCACTTTTACCTTGAAAGTAGAAGGCGTTATCAAATGTTTTTCGAAATATAACAGGGGAGCAGTCACTGGTCGCCATCAGGTAGACCTAGAAGAAAGCCTTTATGAGTACAGTTTATGTCCACAGGGCATTCGGGTCTGCCTGCTACATGTCTTTTATCATGGTACCAGTGGGTGGTGCCAAATTTTCAAAATACTACACACAGGCAGAGTGACTTCAGGTCAGGGGGCAGCAACCACAAGTAACAGAGCCATCAGTCTGGAGCTTCAAAACATTTGAGCCCTATATTAAAGCTTTGCAGCACTGTCAGCGAGGGCAAACAAAATCTGTTCACACACTAGTGAACTCTGTATTTCCTTTTTTTGGGTTTGGAATCCATCACTAAAGAGACCAAAGACTAGTCACTGCTCCTGAGGTTTGGGATGCAAGTGATTAAACACCTTAACGATTAAACATCCGAAATATCGCAACCAGAAATATTAGTCGATTAAACCAACTAGTGCTTTATTCATGTACATTTACAAGGACACTTAACCCTTTGAAACCTGAGCACATTGACTTGATATCTTTTAAAACATGGGGAAAAGACAATGAGCAATGAAAAAAAAAGACCCAAAAAATTAATAAGAAAAAAGTAAAAAGAGAAAATTAAAAACAAGACAATTAGTGGGGAAAAGAAAAGAAAAGAAAGACAGTTAAAAATAAACAAACACAGAAATTACCTGGAAATAGTGCTTAAAAATTATAATTATAACATGATTTAATAATAAAAAATAATTTATAATTATAGTTTATTTAATTACAACATTATAATATAATTTTAACATTTAAAAATAATAATAATAATTACAATTTTTTAAATAATTTTCCAAACCTCTCTTTTTTTTGCAATTTGTTGGACATTTCAGCTGAAATTTAATTATAATTTAGATGTTGTTTTATTAACTTTAAAGTGAATTGCTATCCATTCTGATGGATAACCTGCGAGGCTCTGTGTGCGCCACATTTCAGAGGCAGTTCATTTATTTTAGATGTTATTTTAATGGTTAACTTTCGACTGAGTTGCCGTCATGTTTACATTCCTACCGCACTTAAAATACAGCATTTAAAATCCGACATGTTCAAAAGAGGAGTAAGCCACTCAGGCTTTCTTCAGGCACACTACGCACCGAGCCAAGGAATAATATTAAAAAGCCGTTATTTAATTGGGCATGTCAGAGTTAAAATACATACGACCCAATGCCAAAAACAAAACAAAAAAACGCCGACCAGTTTCAACCACCAGGTCTTCTTCAGGGCGTGGCAGAGAAAATGTGTGAAGCCGAGTGAGAGGTTGTGATTTGTTCTATAGATCTCTTGACAATGGGGTAATTGGAAACAGGAAAGGGACAATTACATCATCAATTCACATCAGGTGGGCTTGCAGTATGTAAACATTAATTAACAACAATATTTTCAGAGATGAACAACAAACAATATATCAGAGTGGACATCATCAACAACAATATATCAGAGATGAATTTATAAAAAGGGTCTAAAATCTATCTCTTCATTTAGTCCAGGATACATCAAAGCATCAAATTTGAAAATCCAGAATGTCCCTCTTTGTAATAATTTATTGAGTCTGTTTCCTTCTCTGATTGACTGCTCCACACATTCAATACCTTCCACTTTCAGTAGGCTGTCGTTCTTATTATGAAAGTTACTGAAGTGGCATGCCATAGGATAATCTCTATTGTTGGTTTTTATGGCATATTTATGCTCCGTCACTCTGTCTTTTAAGCGTCTTTTTGTGCGGCCAATATAAAAACAGCCACATGGGCAACTTAAACGATAAACTACATATGTGGTGTTGCAGTTGATGAAATGTTTATTTTTATGTATCTCATTTGTCCTCAAATCAATAAATTCCTTCTGTTGTATGATGTTAGAGCAGTGATTACAGTTGGTTTGCATACACTTAAAGGTTCCTGTAGGTCTTTTAAGCCAGCTGCCTGCCCTCTTAACTGGGAGATAGCTGTGCATCACTCTGTCTTTTAAAACAGAAAACAGAAAGTAGGAGGAACTTGTGACCCCTCTTTTAGAGAGGGGTCACTTTTAAGGATGTCCCAGTTAGACAAAATAATCTTAATTTGTTGAGCTAGTTGACTGAAACATGTAACAAAATAAGTGCCCGAAGTGTTTCTTTTCTGTGTTTGATTGTTGTAGGAGCTGGGGACGTGCAATGGAAGCTGCCTTGGTCTGAGCTGTTGAAATAATAAGTTTAAGTTTATTTCCTTTATTAATCCCCCTGAGGAGAAATTCAATGTTTTCTCTCTTGCTTGTCAATTACACACAGGTCTGAAAGACACACACATGCACAAACAGGACCTATACATGCACAAAGTGGAGAGATGTCAGAGTGAGGGGGCTGCCCTTGGTGAGGCGCCCCGAGCGGTTGGGGGGTTCAGTGCCTTGCTCAAGGGCACCTCGGCAGTGCCCGGGAGGTGAACTCTCCAGGGTCGAACAGGCGACCCTCCGGTTCCCAACCCAAGTCCCTATGGACTGAGCTACTGCCGCCCCCTTCTTGTCTTGTTATATGATCTATCCAAAAAACGTTTGGTCATATGTAGAGACTGTGTATGAAAATCTGAATCCTGATCACATATTCTTCTCAATCTTTGAAACTGGCCGAATGGGATGTTGTTTTTGAGGTGGGGTGGATGGAAAGATCCATACTGCAATAAAGAATTACGGTCAGTGGGTTTTCTAAACAGTGTAGTGTGTAATTTTTCATCATCCCCTTTATAAATGGTTAGATCTAAAAAGTTGATATTTTCTTTAGAGTTTTCCATTGATAATTTTATATTTTTGTTAGTGTTATTAAGATAATGGTAAAAATCCATCAGATCCATCTGGCTCCCCTTAAACAGAAGAAAAATATCATCAATATATCTACAATACATTTTAATGTTTTAACCAAAGGGTTTTTTTCATGATTAAATTGACATAAAAATCCGACATGGTTGTTGAAGATTGTAATTAAAGGCTTCAAAGGGTTCTTAATGCACACAATAGTTTTTGGGACAATGTTTCAAATACTTAACAATAAACTGTGCTAAATTTTGACTGTTTTCTGAGTGTTTTCCTTTTTTCAGACTAGTCGAGGAGTCTTACCTAAAATTTCTGTTTAGTCGACAGGGAAATTAGTATTTATTATTAGGAACATCCCTAACTGAGGTTTGACAAAGTTTAAAGAAAAGGCACCAGGCTGCACATTTTACTGTCGCTGATAAAATGTTTAAACTTTCTTTTTTGTTTGTTATTTTAATTCAGTGTATAGTCTACACCTGTTTTACAGGTGGAGAATGTAAGAATGACTTTAGGCCTACAACAGTGATGTGATATTTTTCCGTGTGCAGCTCCAGAGCCGCAGCCTGTCTACCCCTGTGTGGTACATTAAATATAGGTACTACAGATCCTAACCAGGTGAGTGACAATCCAAGCTTCCCTGTTCAAACCAAACAGACTTATCTAATGAACAGTGGGATCTTGTTTAACACCTGGTCCACTCCTCCATATGTGGACGCCAGGGGTTAACTCAGTGTAAAGAGTCCTCTATACTGAAACTATAAGCCAGGATTATAATGTGACCATTGCCCTGAACTTTTTATCGGACATCTTTGGTGCTCCTTCTGATGCCGGCCTCCCCATTGCAGCCTTCACAACCTTACTGGCCTCGCCCCTATACATGATCGTCTGATCAAGGAAGTTTCTAGTAATTTTTCTTGATAAATTTTAGTATTATTGTTTCTTTTTATTTTTTATAATCTTCTGTTATGTATGTATGTATTTATTTATTCATTCATTTTCCGTAACTGCTTCTTCTGTTGGGGGTCGCAGGGCGGCTGGAGCTGACAAAAAAACAAAAAACAAAAACCGAACGCTGTTGTGTGTTGCCATGTCATTATACGCTACACTATAGAGGGGGGCCGGTGATCAGCAGATTACATGTACGTGATAATTTTCAGTGCTCTGTTAAAACACCTGCAACGTCTACAACATATCCTGTTCTGCTTTTACGTCCTAACGCTGCAGGGATAAGGAGCTGGCCTCCGGATTGTTTTTTCCTCATACCAGTGATCGGCACATCTGGGTTATGTTTGTATGTTTTGGATGTGTTTCCATGCTCCATTTCCATTTCTTTGCTGCTGTAATTTACCGGCACACTGAGGTCGGCCTTCCAGCTCCAGTATATTAATTTGTGCTCGTCATAGTGACTTAATCGCACCCCATTCTGTTAATTGTGCTAACCTTAGTATTTGTTTTATTGTGTTTCATATCATAGGCCCACAATTATTTATCCACATCTCATCTCTAACCCTCCCTGTGGCCAGGGTTACTCATTTATTTTAAAAGGTCTAGGCTTTTTAATTGCTCTGTATCATCACACTATTATTAATATAAGCAGGGATTTTAATGTAAAGGTGTAACCACTGTATGTGAACACATGAATGTGTCAGACCTGCAGCACTGGATTTAAACAACATGAGCCTCATCATTTAAAATCAACATTCGTTATACTGAGGTGAAAGTAACGCAAACATAGTGTAATAAGTAACTAATTACTCTACACAGAGAGTAATGTTGTAAAGTAACTGATTACTTTTTGTTCACACTGATCCTACAGCAATGACTGAAATTTGGGCTGCATGTGTGTATGAGAGGTGCTCTTAAAATGAAGTTGAGTTTAACAAATCAGGCGCTGAGTAAAGTGACAGTGTCTCAATAATGTAAACCTGTCCAACACACACACACACACACACACACACACACACACACACACACACACACACACACAGAAGTGACTCTCAATTTCCACATCAGGTCGTTGTGTGTTTTCATTGATGAAACGTTGAAACGGAAGCTTTAACAAACCTGTAAAGGTGCGCTGTAACCTGCCAGTTTCCTCTTTTCCTCACGCGGCACGTTCACGGTCTCCTTCAAATGAAGCCGACAGGCAGGAAAATGTTAAAACAAATTTCATATAGTTTCATATTCTAGTTTTATTCTCCTCCCGCTGTGTCTGTGTGATGCAGAGGAACTGCTGCTTGTTCCAGCTCTTACGTCTTTAAATGACTGCATGAATGTATGTACGGTGTGTTACCTTTTTGCCGCTGTCTCCACACCCCGCTGCCTCTGTCTCAAACAATCTGATCTGGAGAGGTACGTGAGACTATGCGCGGGGCGGGCAGCAGTAGCCTACTATTGGGCAGCGGGCGCGCGCTCTTCACAAGGCGGAAGTGAAAACAAAGGAGTGAAGGACTAAACGGAAAAGCTATTCCTGTTTCATTATATTCTGAAACGTGTGAAATGATTTGGGCTCAAAATCGATGTGCCTATTAATTTGTAATTTCTAGTACATACATATAGATATAGATAAAAAGTCATAATTATGAGATAAAGTCAAAATTATGAGATAAAAAGTAAAAACTATGAGATAAAAAGTCATAATTATGAGATAAAACGTTATAATTATGAGATAAAATGTAAAAACTATGAGATAAAAAGTCAAAATTATGAGATAAAAAGTAAAAACTATGAGATAAAAAGTCATAATTCTGAGATAAAAAGTAAAAACTGAGATAAAAAAGTCATAATTATGAGATAAAACGTCATAATTATGAGATAAGTCAAAATAATGAGATAAAACATAATTATGAGATAAAAGTCAAAATAATGAGATAAAAGTCAAAATGATGAGATCGTCATAATTATGAGATAAAAAGTCAAAAATAATGAGATAAAACGTCATAATTATGAGATAAAAGTCAAAAATGATAAGATAAAAAGTCAGAATTATGAGATAAAAGTCAAAATAATGAGATAAAAAGTAAAAACTATGAGATAAAACGTCATAATTATGAGATAAAAGTCAAAATTATGAGATAAAAAATAAAAACTATGAGATAAAAAGTCATAATTATGATTATGACAGTGCTGGCATGGGTTAGCAACCCATGGTAGCAGTGGTGAGGCCTAGCAGCCTTATTACAACCAAAATTAGCTACAGCCAACATAGGGAAAATACCCCAAGAGTCAGCGAGAGCAGGGGTGGAAGATGACTCACAGGTGGATTACACGGTAACAGACATTGGAAAGGACACGACTATGACTTGGACCGGTGACTCAGTGAAGGATAGGGGCACGGACCTATCCACCAGTGCTAGAATTAGCAGCACTCAGGGCAAGGTGAGCGCATCTGTAGAGGGCAAAAGTAGCATAGTTGAGAACAAGATGCTTCAGGTTTGTCCTTGCGGCTGGCAGAAAGTAACATCAGTGAAAGGCCTCAGAACTCATCAGGGAAAGAAGAAGTGTGTGGCAAAGAAAGGGCAGAGTAGCCGCATTGATCAGTACTTCCTAAGAAGTCAGTCGAGTCAGTCGGATGAAGTCCAGCGGCAGGTAGAAAACCACAGTTCGCAGGATATCAGTAACGCTGCCACTGAGGAGGAGGGGGTAGTAAGAGAGGATGCAGGTGACACTGAGGCCAGTATGCTAGCCAGAGAAAGAACTATGGAGCAAAAGGTTAGAGTTAGATGGCCTAGAGCAAATGACAGTAAAGAATGGGAGATAGTTAATAGAGACTTGTCAGTAATCTTGAGTAGGCTTAGAGGAAATGCAATACAAAGGTTAGAAAAGATGGGAGATATAATGTATTCATATGGTGTAGAGAGGTTTGGGGTGCATGAGAGAAAGAGGAGTGAGAGGGTACAGTCAGGTAAGTCTAGGCGGCAGAGAGAAATAGAGAAGTTAGTCAAGGAAAGGAGACAGTTAAGAAAGCAGTGGAAAAAGGCTACAGAAGAAGAAAGGGAGGGAATTAAGGTGTTGCAAGAGGAGTTGAGAAGCAGGCTAGCAGTTCTTAGAAGGGCGGAGCATCTCAGGAAAAAGAGGAGGAAGAAGGAATATGCTAGGACAGGTTTTTTCAGGGACCCTTTTAAGTTTGTTAAAGGATTGTTCAGCCAGGAAAAGGGAGGGCAGCTTAAAGCAGAAAGGTTAGAGGTTGAAGAATATTTGAGAAACACGTATTCAGATTTGGAGAAGAATAGGATAGTAGGTTTCCCACCTGATATCCCTCCATTAGGAGGGATAGAGCATGAGATGGATGTCAGGCCACCTAGGTGGAAGGAAGTTCAGGAGGTGGTCAGGCGTGCAAAGGCTTCTTCGGCCCCAGGGCCTAATGGAGTCCCCTACCGGGTTTATAAAAGTGCGCCTGATACCCTTAAATTTTTGTGGAAACAGCTAAGAATAGTTTGGGAAAAACAAATTATACCAAGAGCATGGCGTAGGGCAGGGGGTGTCCTCATTCCTAAGGAGAAGGAGTCTGTGGACCTTAGCCAGTTCCGGATGATTTCTCTCTTGAATGTGGAGGGGAAGATTTTCTTTAGTGTAGTAGCGCAGAGACTAGCTAGCTACTTAGAAAGGAATAGCTTAATAGATACCATGGTGCAGAAGGCAGGAATACCAGGTTTTTCAGGGTGTTTAGAGCATACTAGCATGATCTGGCACCAGATTCAGGCAGCGAAGATTAACAAAAGGGACCTACATGTAATATTTTTAGATCTTGCAAATGCGTTTGGTTCAGTACCGCACAGCCTCATTTGGAGTGCGTTTGACTACTTCAGAGTGCCACAGGTAGTTGTTAACTTAGTGAAAGCATATTTTCAGGATATTAGGTTGTGTCTAAGTACAGCAGGTTTCACAACAGGTTGGCAGAGGCTAGAAATAGGCATCATGGCAGGGTGTACAATTTCTCCATTAGCATTTACTATGGCAATGGAAGTAATCATCAGGGCTTCTAAGTGGGTGGTAGGTGGGGAGAGACGGCAGAATGGGTTGCATCTTCCACCAGTTAGGGCTTACATGGATGACATGACACTGGTGACCACAACAATGCCATGTACAAAGAGGCTACTAGAGAAGGTAAATAAGAACCTCAAGTGGGCCAGCATGAAAATCAAGCCTAGTAAATCTAGAAGCATCTCGATATGTAGAGGGAAGTTAAGTGATAGGAAGTTTGTCATAGATGATGAGGACATCCCAACAATTAGGGAAAAGTCAGTAAAGAGCTTAGGTAGGTGGTACAATGTAGAGTTGAATGATAAGGAACAGGTGGTGAAATTTAGAAAAGATGTGGCTGAAGGATTGGATAGAATAGATAAATCAGAACTTCCAGGAAAGTTGAAGTTGTGGTGTTTGCAATTTGGGCTATATCCTAGGTTAATGTGGCCATTGTCAGTTTATGAAATTCCAATATCTGTTGTGGAGAGAATGGAAAGGTCGGTTAGCTCCTACATTAGGAAGTGGTTGGGCGCTCCTAGGTGCCTAAGTAGTGTTGCATTGTATGGAAAAGGGATACTTCAGCTGCCAGTATCTAGTTTAACAGAGGAATTTAAATGTACCAAGGTCAGGACAGAGCTCTTGTTATCTGGGAGTAAGGACGTGGTAGTTAGGAGTGTGGTTCCAAATCCAACCAAGGGGAGGAAGTGGAACCCAAGATCGGCAGTTCAGGAGGCAGAGGCAGCTCTTAGACATGCAGAGATTGTAGGTAATGTTCAGTTTGGCCGGGGAGGCCTGGGGCTTGGCTCAGGTAAACCGGTATGGAATACAGCAGGCCTCAAAGATAAAAGAAAGCTGGTTGTAGAACAGATACGCAGACAGGAAGAGATAGTAAGGGGTGCAAAGGTAGTGGCCCAGGCTAAACAGGGACAGTGGTTGAATTGGGAAAGTGTAGAGAAGAGGAAGCTTAGTTGGAGGGACCTGTGGAGTATGGAGGAGAATCGTATTAGATTCCTGGTAGGGGCTACATACGATGTGTTACCAACCCCCCAGAACCTAAAACTGTGGGTAAATGAGGACCCATCATGCCCATTGTGTTCACGTACCGCAACTTTAAAGCATATTTTGTCAGGCTGTAAAGTTAGCTTGTCACAAGGCCGATATACATGGCGACATAATCAGGTGTTGAAATGTTTAGCTGCAGGCATCGAAGGGAAACGAAGACAGGTGAATTCAGAAGGTGTTAAGGATAGGGGCTTAGTAATTCAGTTTGTCCGTGAGGGAGAGAAATACAGAAGGGATAAGTTAGTGAGGAGGCAAGGGTGTGGCCGCCTAGAAGGTGCTTGTGATTGGGAAATGCAAGTAGATTTAGGGGGAAAGCTTGTTGTTCCTCAGGAAATAGTCTGTACCAGGCAGAGGCCTGACTTAGTGTTGTGGTCAGTGAGTCAACAGATAGTTTATTTCATTGAGCTGACAGTTCCTTGGGAAGACTCAGTGGAAGAAGCCTATGAAAGAAAAAAGCTTAGATATGCAGACTTAGGAGCAGAAGCTGAGCAGCGAGGATGGAAGACTAGGATTTGTCCAGTGGAAGTGGGGTGTAGGGGATTCATAGCAAGATCAACTGTCTCACTCCTGGGGGAACTCGGAGTGCGGGGACAGAATTTGAGGAAGACAGTGAGGGAAATGTCAGATGAAGCAATTAAATGCAGCCAGTTTATCTATTACAGAAGAAATAATGTCAGCTGGGGGCCAGCAGGGGGAACTACTAAGCAGGGCACATAACTCCTTGAGATCAGGTGGAGAGATCCACTTCCTGTCAGGAGAAATCCAGGAAGAGGAAGTATTTAAGTGTGGGAGTGGCCTATTGGAATCCATTTTGTTTGAGGCCATGCGGCAAGGTGAGTGTGCTTGCTGATCCTGTAAGTCCAGTTAGCTCCTTTAACTTTAGCTTATATTGTAGTTATGCTATGTAGTGTGTGAAATAGAGTATGGTGAATGTGACAGGAAAGCTAGTATCAGCATTGCTTCTGCCTGGAGCTCGCATGTATGGAGCCTGGGTTTGGTTGAAGATGGCAGTGCTGTTTGGGCTGAGAAAGCCATGTGTAAGTAAGAAGGAAATCCAGGAAGAGGAAGGTTATTTAAGTGTGGGAGTGGCCTATTTGAATCCATTTTGTTTGAGACCATGCTGCAAAGTGAGTGTGTTTGCTGATCCTGTGAGTTCATTTATCTCCTTTAACTTTAGCTTACATTGTAGTTATGCTATGTAGCGTGTGAAATAGAGTATGGTGAATGTGCTAGTAAAGGTAGTATCAGCATTGCTTCTGCCTGGAGCTCGCATAAACGGAGCCTGGGCTTGGTTGAAGTTGGCAGTGCTGTTTGGGCTGAGATCACTG